AAAAAACTATATATCTTATATATATAATATAAATATTTGCAAAAAAAAAAATTATCTTTTTAGTCAAAACGCGTCTTCTTGACCGCCGCTGACCCCACCAACCGTACGCCTCCTTTCTTACCCCCTCTTTCAAACGCTGCACGTTTCCCGTGGCTAAATTTTTTATTTTAAACAATATGATACTTAAATTTTGGGAATTTTACACAACAGGTTTTATTTATTTACATATCTACCCCCTAAATTTTGATTCATAGATTTAAAATATTTTTCTGTTAGAAATCTATGATGTATTTTACTTTTAAAAGTTATTAATAATTATATTTACAAGATTTTAGTGATTTTCAAATCATGTAAAACTGTGTGAGGCATACTCAAGATTCGGAGCTGTAGTAACTTCGAGGGAGAATAGGGGAGAGAGAGAATAAATGAACACGCACAGACTTGTCCGGTAGGGGTGAACGAGGAGTGCTTATTGTGTTTGGACACTGCACGCAAATTTGCGTGTGGTATTGGATTTGTACCACCCATATACTATTTTTTTTTTTTTTGGAGTGGGCCCCACTCTAAAATTTTTTACTGACCTAATCGGACACCACAAGTAAATTTACACCACACGCAAAAATTTTTCGTGAACGAGAGTATTTCAGGACTTTGTGAAGCATTTTATATATTATAATTTGGGAGAGTACAATAGTTGAAGAGGGTCTCCCTAAAAGAGATGGGTCTAGAGAAGAGCTTAGAGGGGTCAAAGCATAAGGAGGCAAAAAGTCTAATACATGCTATGGACCGGGTCAAGGGTGGAAAATTAAATGTATGAACCTTTTTAATAGGGGCATTATAGGACATTTTCGTGTTTTAACTAATTTTGCCAATTTTTTTTGTGTCGGGACCTTCTGATCAGCATGTTCTTGGGTCGATCGATCAAGCTGGTGTTGATAGGTTATCTTGTCTCGATACTAGTGTGTCTTTGTTCTGGGAAGCCGGTTGGCTTTGAAAGTTGTAGCTGGTCAGTCTTAGGGTGGTCGATCGGCTTACATGTTTCTTGGTGATCTTTGAATATTTTTTAGGGATTTATTAAGAGAGCCTCATGTAGATAATTGTGGGATTGCTAAGGGTACTAGACATTTGTTCGGTTATTCCCGTGAATGTTCGTTCCTGGTCGGCCTGAGTGGCCCTTTGGTTGTCTGACTCGCCTTCAGTCGATTGATACTCTTTTGATCAATCGTCAGCCCTTCAACTAGCTAATGATCTTCAGCTCTAATGCTTTAGGAGTACTTGTAACTTTTCGTCAAAGAGACAATCTTCGGTTTATGTCTTCTAATCTAAACCTTTATATTTTCTCGAAATCCGTGCAGATCATTTTTTTTATGTACATTTCTAACACCTAAATTTTACTTTTTACATATATATCATCTTACTTATGCTTGAAAAGTTGAGTTTAAATCAGGATGATGATTTTTTAATGTGATATGAATGATGATTGTAT